AAAGAAAAAAAAAAAGAAGAAGATTGGCAGATGTTAGCACAGGGCTGATCTTCCTCACAAAAGAAAACCAGTGCAAAATTATTTTACATGGTCTACAACAGGGGTTGTTATAGCCCATAGGCAAATCTAGCCAGCTGCTTGTTTTAGTAAATCAAGTTTTACTAGGACACAGCCTCACTCATTCCTTTACATACTGTCTGTGGCTACTTTTACAGTACAATGGCAGAGTTGAGTAGTTGTGACAGACTGGATGCCCTGCAAAGCCTAAAACATTTACTCTCCAATCTACAAAATCAGCCACTCTATTTTTAACTATTTATATTTATACAATACTTGACATCTAATCATATATATTCCAAAGATTATAAGAAATAAATGTTGGAAGTAACTTTTACCTTATTGTAATTCTTGGCTAATTCCAACATCTCTTTTACCACTGATTCATTGTGTTTACAGTGTTCACTGTAGTCCTGAAGTGTCAAACCTTCCATCCAACTCTTCTTATGCAAATTTAGCAACATCTAAAAAAGATAAAGAAAAAGTAATTATTTTCTTGTATTAAGGATATTTCCTTCACCTGTCTTGAGAAACAACTTCACAAAAAAACTTTTGGAATTAATGAATTTAAATTTAATTTTATTAACTTAAATTCTAATAAGAATTCTCCTAAATTTATATTAATAGAACCTAAGGAGTACCCCAATCCCATGGCCTTTGCATTTGTTGTCCTTCTGCCTCGAAGGCTACTTTCCTGATCTTTGCAAGGATACCTTCCCCACTTCCTTAGAAATAGATACCTTCTCTCACCATGCTATATAGAAAAGCCACCCACACTGTCTTAAATATACCTGTTTTATTTTTATAAAATAAACTGTTTTATTTTTATAACACTATCAACACCTGAAATTTTTGTTTTCTTGTTTATTGCATTCTCTCTTACTAAAAAGAAATCAACAGGGCAAGGAGTTTGCCCTGTTTATTTCAAGATCACCAGGGTCTAGATTCTAGAACAATATCTAATCATAGTAGACACTCAATAAATATCTGTTGAACAAATGAATGAATGAAACTACATTACACATAGGATCTCTAATAGTTCATATAGCTCAGCTTTCAAATGCCAAGATAGGGAGGTTAAGTGCCCCATTTACTGAATGACTTTGTGTCAATCTTTCTGAGCCTCAGTTTACAGATCTATGAATTGAAGGCTTACACTAGAGAATCTATAAGTTTCTTTCAAATTCTAATATTCCATCTATAATTTAAAAAATTAAAACTTCTTGACTGTCAGAATAAAAAGTCATGAAACTGGGAAGGAAATCACAGATTCAACCAATTTGCAATCATATCAGCAAATTGAGATCAGACCCTACTAGTGATCACGGAACTAAACACCTCAGTTCATTGTTTCTCAAACTGGACTCCTGGTTCGGAGTACATATTCTTGGAAGTTCCTAAGTTTTCAAGTTTAGAGTGTTAAGACAGTTTTTCTTAAAGTCTTACTCTACAAATGTTCTTCAGTTGAGGAACTATCATTGAATAAGAACAGCTTTTTTTTTTTTTTGTGAGGAGGACTAGCCCTGAGCTAACATCTGATCCCAATCCTCCCCTTTTTTTTCCTTGAGGAAGATTGGTCCTGGGCTAACATCTGTGCCCATCTTCCTCTACTTTATATGGGACGCTGCCACAGCATGGCCTGACACGCAGTGCGTCAGTGCGCTCCGGGATCTGAACCTGCGAACCCCGGGGCTACCGAAGCAGAGCGTGTGCACTTAACCGCTGCGCCACCGGGCAGGCCCCAAGAACAGCTTTTTTAATGATTGATAAAATTATGCAATGTAAAATAAATAGTGGCTACAGAATGACTGTTGTTCTTTCACCATTAGAACCAATATACTTTAAGTGAGATCCCTGAGCCATGAAGACCTGAAGACATACTTGAAAGTATATGGGTTTAGTTTAGAAAAACTACTCTACTTGTTTAGAGGTTTGCAGCTATAAGTGGTACAAAGTTTTTCTTATGCTGGAAAATAAGCTGCATGTCAAAATCACCTATGAGACTTTTCAAGACAAAACCTTCAAATTCCCCCATTCCCCTCTTAGGGCCCTTGGGGGCAAGAGTGGTTTGCAAAAAAACTGGGAAAATCCTGCACAAGTACCTCCAATTTCTTTGATTGCTTCCCATCTTCTCCACTGATAGTGTTCTGGAAAATATATCCTTTGGAAATTTTGGCAGTTACAACCACCTATGCTATAAAGCTACCTATAATTAAGTTTTGAGACTTGGATTTTCCTACCACTTCAAAAGCAAACAAAGTTCGCACAGAGCAGCAGGCTATCCCTACCATGCCTGGACAAGGATTCCATTGGGACCCTCAGGTAAGGCTTGGGGTTAAGTATACAGGTTGGTGCGAAAAGAATAAAGGCAGGGCTTTTGGTACCGAGAAGGCATTTGAACTGAGCTACTAGGAACATAAACATAACATTAAGTATTTTATGTAAGTATTTATATGTGTGTTTTTTATGCCAATGATGGTGGCTAAGTTTATGGGGAAAAAAGATTTTAAAAGAAAAAAGGGGAGGGGAGTTGACGTAATTAGATGGATATTTCCAAATGACTGAATGTCAGATATCAGCCTGATAAAATATTTATATATCCAGGGGCTGGCCCGGTGGCATAGCGGTTAAGTGTGCACACGCCGCTGCAGCGGCCCAGGGTCTGGATCCCGGACGTGCACCGACACACCGCTTGTCAAGCCATGCTGTGGTGGCGTCCCATATAAAGTAGAGGAAAATGGGCACAGCTGTTAGCTCAGGGCCAACCTCCTTATCCAAAAAGAGGAAGATTGGCATTGGATGTTAGCTCAGGGCTGATCTTCCTCACACACACACAACAAAATTTATATATCTGAACGAATTTTTCAGTTTGTATCTAAGTGGCGTCCTTTTCGTGGCCTGTACCTATTGTATGTAAAATTAAAATAAGTGTTGAAAATGTACTTCAAGCTATCAACTATATCTACCACAGCAGATACAAACTTTGGGACATAAGCAAGCAGCTGGAAGAGAGCTTTATGGCTCTGTGTCTCCCCTCAGGCCAAGGAAGAACTGGTCCCCTGCAGCCCCTTACTCATCACCATGCTCAAGCATCTAGGACCTTTGGGTGAGTTTATCAGCGGCTTTGACCTTTTAAAAGTGTCTTATCAAACTCAAACAAGGAAACAAACAAACAAAAAGCCCAGAATTCTTCTTTCAAAGAAAATCTTATAAAGCATCCTCCCCACAATATATAAATGAGATTAAAAATGGAGGTGATCTGGTTGAAAGACGGGGTAGTATGGAAAGCCCAACTTTCTCTACCTCCCAATCACCATATGCACTAGAATCCCTTCTAAGGTACCTCTGTGAGAAACTAGTAAAAAAGAAAAGTCTTGTTTACGTGTTTGGACTTGAGAGTGTACGTAGGAAACAAAACTTACTGGCTGCCAGTGTTCTGAAAATTTTTTTTTAAGTCTTGCACAGAGAGAAATACAAGAAGCTAATTTGGAGGATGACTAATTATAATAGTAAAGAAAAAAACACCATGTCAGATTGTAATTTCAAAAAGCAATAGGCAGACTTCAATATTTGGCATTGGTTAAGAGAAAAAACGTACTTGAAATAATCCTAAAATAGAAGAAACAAAAGAAGGCTAATCTACCAAGATGCTAGGTAATCTTAAAAGTAATCAAATTTGAAAATTTTCTATAAAAAAGGATAAAAATATAGCTCCAAATATCTGAAAACCCTAAACTGCATTTTCCTTTTGACTCACCTTTAGTTTACCCTAGGTAGACATGGTACATTTTTTAAAAGTACTACACAATTACAATATAATTTATTTCTTTCATATTTGGAAAGCTATTTATTTGGTAATTTAGTTACAAAAGGCCGTTTTACAGGAGAAGATAAATTAATCAGGAAAATCACAGAACTAGGAGAAAGATTTTTAAAATTTATCATAAAACCAAATTGGAATGTTCGTTTCCTATTTCCTCTCCTGCTTTAGCACCTACCAATAAGGTAAAGTGTCTTTCAGTATGTCCAGTAATATATTCCTTTATTTTATGCCGCAATTCATCAGGAATAAAAAAATATTTGAACACATCAATGAAAGAGGTCAACAATCCAAATTCAGATATACCAGGCAATAGTTTAAACGGTTTGAAAAAGATTCTTTCCTCCTCTCTAGGATAAAAATTCAAACTTACCTTCTGTTCCAGTTCATTTTTCCGATAGTTAATAGTAATGGAGTAATAATGTCTGTTTAGTCCATGAATTAATGCCTATATAGATAAATGATTATAAAAAGGACAAATTAATATTTTTCAATTAAATACAACTGTTTGAAACTGTTGACATATCCTGTAGACAATATCTCTACCATCTTCTAAAAAAAGCTTTTTATCCTAAATAAAGATCAAATTAAAATATTTTTTTCTCAGCTACAAGTTTAGAGTAATGTTTCAAGTATGAGTCACACATTCTTCAAAGCATGATATAGAGCAGCAAGCATTCAACAGTTTCAGTAGCCTGCTCAGAGTCAGAGACAGGGTTTGACCTCATCATAATCTAAATTATAAATTAATTATTCATAATTTATAAATAATACATAATTTATTAAGTCTGATTCTATGATTTCTAGGGGACTCTCTGTTATTTCAAAAGAAAAGCCTAAAAGTCATAATAATACACTTATTTCTTCACCCACAACATTAATCTGGGGTTTCCCTTTTTCTTAATTCAGTTCTAACAGATTCAAATAATTTGTGTCTGCGCATGTCTCCAAGTTAAAGTGGAGTTTGTTCTTGACTGTGTCTATTTAGCTCATGCTCTTATCCAGTGACAGGCAATCTCACTAACCAGAATTTTTTCCACTGCACTTGATCTCCGAGACAAACAGGTAAATCATAATAAAAATTTAAGCTAATGGCATGATTTATTAAGAAAGGACAACCCCGCATGTGCTGGAATCCATTCACAACTGCTCAAATATCTAACTCGAGCAACACAGGTTCAAATGAGGTTCAGAACAGTACTCTGGGGGACCCTCTATCAGCCTAATAAGGACATGAAAATACAGGAATACACCTTGGACATATTTTCAACAAGTATAAAAACAAAAAGGGCTTTGAGATTAACTCTCAGGAATCTAAAGATAAAGCTAACCAAAACAACGACCACACTTTCTAATTATTGGATTTTTACAGTGTAGATCTTAAGGTGTTGAGGCAGAAGAAAAAGGGGTGGAAAGGAAACATTTAATGAGCACCTAGCATCGCTTTACATATTAAGTCTTTTAATTTTCACAACTCAGTAAGGTAGTCTGGTTCATTTGTATTTGGACAGATGAGGAAAATAAGACACAAATCTTAATTTGTCCCAGTTTATAGCTAGTAAAAGGCAAATGTGGGATTTGAACCCAAGTCTTTCTGACTCTAAAGCCCATGTTTTTTCTACTATACAATTCTACAATGTATCTTAGGAAATTCTTGGATTAAGTTTTGTACTTTAAGGATCAGGATGAAAACAAAGCATAGTCTTATATTTAAACTTTCCTAGCAAAAATCACTCCACCAAGTACTAAAACATTTTAGATATGTACTGTAACAATCCATTCTTATGTTCTTAACATATGCTATAATAAAAGGTTGATATACAAAATTAAACTACTAAGAATATCTATTAAATCCTTAACCATTTCAATAATCATCAGGAGCAGTGAATTAAATTTCAGTGCACAGAAATGCTGTACTATGTAGATCAAAAAGTGAAACCAATCAGGGCCTCCCTTAATCTGTACTCGCCATTATGCAAATTAGGAACAGCATCTTCTGGGTGGGAGAAGTAGAAAAAGGTGCCCAGTCCTCCAAGCAGACACATCCTGACTGGAGAGTGGAGCTTAGGCTCGATTTCAGGTGTCAATTGCCCCCTCACCCAAGCACCTTTGCGCAATGCCCTAACTATATAATTCTACATAGTGGCCATAAAGCTAATAACAGCTATGGCCAATAAACACAGAAGTCAGTGAACGGGCCCACAGACAGGTCCACATTTTGGAGATAAACTGTACTGCTCAAATATACAGTTTGGTATTTGAAGACACTACCAACTTCATTTTCAATTATATTATTTAGATAAAAGTAGTAAAAGTAACACAGGCAGCATGAAAGATTACTAAGTATAATGAAAACAAAACAAACATAAGCTTAAATCAAATTATATCCTCAAGCAGTCTTCCAATTTCACTTACTCACCTGTTGTGTACCCCCAGTGCATTCATCCCAAATCATAAGTAAACTGGCCATGTGCAGTCTCCTTCCACATGAGCACAAAAAGCACATACTCTCTTTTCTAAATTCTCTCAAATTAACCAATCTAGTTGATATTGAATTACAAATTGTGGCAGTATATGCCAAATACAAGATTAGTTCTATCAAGGGGAGACTAACCTTTTGAAAGGTTCAAATTGCAAATTAAACATAATATGCAATTTGATGCATTAAAATTAACTTTTAAATTTACACTTAACAAACATATGATGGACTCAGGAAAATTTACGCAGTTCTTCGTTAAAACAGGATATGTTCCTGAAGCTCATTTGTTAACTGGCTATTTGAAATCTGCAACAGTTTCTCATAGAAGCATTCTTATAAAGCATGGTTCCATTCTATAGTACTATATATTGTGGGCCAAATAAGTTTTCAGTGGCTGACCTGGGAAGCTAGCCACGTTTTACAGGACTGTTTCTAGGACAATACATTTTGGATTTACTAACAGCACTTAACTTATTTGCTTCTTGGATATCCTGACTCTTGTTTTCTTTGCTCAAAGCCTGCCAACCTTTCAAAGAAGGAAGTTCTGCCTAGGGTGGTACTCAGAATCAGTCTAAGATGCTATCTATTCTAGACAAAGAATGGTTTGGAGGAGGAATTAGACAAAGGAGAGTTTTGAGATCCTGCTGATTAAATTCTACGTTATTTCTATGCTTCTTTAGCTAACCTTTAGAGCAGAGCTTTATAATTGTGTTGGTATGACAAATTCAAAAAAAGTACACCAATAATCATTACAGTGAAATAAACTTCAAAATCAACCACCATTTGAATTATTTATATTTCTGTATTCATTCATTCGTGTGAATTATTAAACTTAGGTATTAGAAATGTCTTGGGAAGAATAGGCACCTAATCCCAATGAATGTTCAAGACTGGCTAAACCATAAATAATAGTGAGAAGGAAAAGTAATAAACTTAGAATTGCAGTGATGTATGAGCAAAGGTGATAGAAGCTACAGAATAAAAATATAGACAGTATATGAGAGGCAGTCAGCTACCAGGTTAGATGGAATTGTGTAGAACCATATTTTATGTAGAGGGATGGCTGAGAACAGTTCCTAAAATAAGATCCTCTACTTAAATGGCTTCCTACATAATGACCATGTCAGATAATTAAAATCCTAATCATACTTCACTGACATTGCCCAGACTATTGAGAAGAGGTTAGAAATTATACCTCCATACACTCACTGCTGTAGAAAAGAAGGCATATTATAAGACACACAGCTTATGACCTATATAATAACCTATTTATAGGTTCTTGATAGGTTAAAAAAGTTTCATGCTTTTAAAAAAGTAAAGTATGTTGGTTAGATCTAAAGATAAATTTGTGTGCCTTAAATTATTTTACATTGATAAACTGAAAATGTGGTGCTAAATAATATCCACTGAATCATATTTTAAAATGAAGCTTTCTTTATATAAATATAACAGCTCCGAAAAGAACCAAAACACGCGTTTTGTCATTCCCTCTAGAGTGGAGAACTGGGTTACAGAAGGCAAAAGTAAAAGAGAGAGTTTTTGCTAAATATCTTTTTGTACTTTTTGAATTCTGAACTGCATACATATATTATCTATGCCAGAATTAATTAATTAATTAAATTTCCGAAGTATAGTATAAAAGAATAAGGAGCCTTGGTCATGAATACCAGTTCCTATATTAACTCACTGAATAACCTGGCAAATCACCAACTTTATGGGCCTCAGTTTCCTCACCTACCAAATGAGCACAATGGTTTCTTCCAGTGCAACTGTTTTATAACTGTTTAAGAACTACTGTCAATGTTTTTCAAATACCTTAATTCTGTTGGACAATGCAATTACACTCAGGGCTACACTTGGAGGCTCACAGCCCTAGCACAACGTATCTATGCATCAATATTTACTAAATTTCCATGCGACTGACAACCAATCTTCACATATACTGTGGCTCTTAGGAATCTGGACTGTTGAACAGTTTGTGGTGGAATAGTTTAAAATGTTTAATTACTAAAATAAATGCTTGTTAACTCTCAATTCTATACATTTGACAGTAATGGTCAAATGTTTCAAGTACAAAATAACACAGTCTCATGTATTAATATAAAACTCTATAAAAGTATAGGCATTATACTCTTCCCTCTCTACCAGGACCGTTACCAGCTTCTCTTCTTTAAAACATGAAAGTTAATATAAACTTTGTTTAACAGCTTTGTCTTGTGGTATAGACTTGAACATTATTAGTGCTTTAAAAATAACATTTTCCAAAAGCAATATACGTTTCACTGTAAAATGTTTAAGAAATATGGAGAAGGAAAAACAGGAAAAAAAATTCCATAATACTACCACCCAAAGGTAATCGATACTAACATCTTGCTGTAAATATATAGGCACAGTTTGTAAAATATGTATTTGCAAAGAGGAGAACCTGTATATCCTATTTTAGAATCTTTTCCTTACTTAACACATTAACTTTCCTCAAATTATTAAATAGTAGTCTATAATATAATCATAATTTTTTCCCACTACTTCAAGTATAATAGTAAAAAAAATCAGTGTTAGAAAAGCATTAGTGACCACCAGCATGAGTGCTGATGGCTGCTGTCAGCTTTCTATCCCTATGACTTTAGGGTTGGTTTAGGGACAAGGCCCCTCTTAACACTAACTAATTTTCCTTCAAAATAAAAAACATGGCCTTGCTGAAAGGCTTCTGATCTCCGATTAAAGATTCTGCTACCATATATTAAAACTCCACTATGGATACTACCATTTACTTCAGGTTCTTCTGGGTTGCTTTCTTTTTAGCTTGTCTTAGAAAACTAAGAAACTGTTTTAAGGTGTGGCTTTGTTCTGTCACTTCTTGGCTTGATCTCATTTGAGTGTTTTAGTATTGAAATTGTCTTAAAACTGTAAAGCACCCAGATAGATGTCATTCTGATGGGCGCTAAATAAACTGTGAAATAAATATATTTACAGATTTTAATTGGAAGGCAAAACAAACTAAAATGAAAGGAAAAACAATGATGCTGTACTTGGTATATACACAGGTTCTTTTAACTTGGGTTTGGAACCTGCTTCACAAGGTCCATCTTAAATTACAGACTATAAGCTAGGACTGAAAAATACAAACTGAACTGGTGTAGGAAAAAACAGATTTTAATATTGATTATACTCAATTTTTAAGGTTAAAAAGCAGTGTTTAAATTTGAAAGATGAAATCTGCAACAGGTGGCTGTTGACTTGCAATTAGTAAAAACTTCTGGCAGAAACATACCATGCAGTAATCACAATGATCTTGGATTGCGAGATGCTACTTAACCTTTTGCAAAAAAATAATGAAGCAGTATGATGCTATGGGAGTTTATAAGAAAGGTCATTATCACAGGCTAAACAGGTCCAATAATATATTCTCTTGGAGCATGCAAGCACGGGCTTGTCTGTACCCAACCAAAAACACTGGTAGCTTATTTCATACTCATTATACTTTGCAGTTTTCTCTGACTTGTAAAAAAATTTTTCCCAAAGCAACACACCTCAATCCTTTGAAACAAAACATTTCACTTTGATGAATATTTCAGATGACTGCTGCAAAAGTAAGCCTCTAAAAGTATAAAGTTATCAAAGTGTAACCAAGGCTTAACCATAGTTAACTGTCAAAGCCACAACTCCCCAAAGACATTCACATGACAGGGCAAGGTTTCAGAAAGGGAGCAGCAATAGCTACTATAATGTCTTTGTCCTATGTGTTCTATTTAGCCAAACATGGTATTTCTGTCCTTTTAATTAATCTTCAGAGAAGCAATTAACTATATAGACACAGGTTGTGGTGCATTTAAAAACACATTTAAAATAATTTTTGCAGACAATAAAGATTTGTGTAAAAACAATGAGGCATGTGAACAATACAAAGAAAACATTAATCACTCAGGAGGATATTAAGTGTCTGAATAACTGTCCTAATGGTGGCTGACATCACTAGAAAGAACAAGATATAAACTCTAATCAAAAGTAATATATAGATATATTTTGTAGCAGTTGTTTTAAAAGTAGAGCTTAAACAAAAAAAAGGTAGAAAATTTGAAGTACTATTTAGGAATTGTTTCTGGGGACCTCTTAAAGTATACGTCAATTTTCCCATTATTTACTGCTATGAGAAATGTCTACTAAGCAATCAATGATACTTAATGCACTCCACCTGAAACTCCTATCAGTCCTTTATTACAAGGTTAACCAGACAAAGCCGCAAGGTACTCTCAAGATAAGGACTCTATTATGCTCCCAAAAACGGTGTCCTAAAACTATGTTAGGAAACTTGAAAGACTCTGCTAAAAACTGACTCATATATGAGTAAATATAACTTTTCCAATAATATTTCCATAATTTTCTTTTAAAGCACAAGAAAAATTAATTGCAAACAAATTAAAAAGCTAAGTATTAAATCTTAAAATGGTCCTTTAAAACAGGCTTTTAAAATGTAAAACAGAGTTTTAACACATTATCAAATACAGGCATTACCTGGATAGACGGCTTGTTTAAGTGACCCAGATTTGAGGTTGTTTGTCTTGGTTCATGTCCTAAGACCATCATATTAGCATTGATCAATCTGAAGGCATCAATAACAACCTGTAAAAAGAAAGTGTCAGGTCAATTCTTTTTAAAAAAGCAAGTGATGATGCCAAGCAACAGTGGACAAGGGATGAGCAACTTGCATCTGTTTCTGGACTATTTCCAGAAAATCATTTAATTATAATATTAATAAAAAGAACCTCCTGCTGACTGTGCCATCAGCACACCACCCTCTGTCTTGTAACGTAAGGTGACACCAATTATTGCAATTTTCATGAAGCAGTAAAGAAAAATATTAACTTTGCATCTTTATTATTGAAATACATCATTACTAAACTTACACCAAACAGCCTTCATTGGTGTGCATATGTTTGTCACCTAAATTTTACCTAATCAAAATGAATGACAGAGAGAAACTAAAACTGAAAGTGAGCACAAGCTAAGGGACCACATCTAAAGCCCAGCCCTGTCACATCAATTATACTACCACAGTACTTGAAATGACAACAAAATTACAACCAGCAAGGCACTTGCTCCATGTATTCTCTTCTAGTCAGATACCTTTTACTTCTTGCGACTATAAAAGACTTTATACCTTGTCTGATGGCCTTAAATGTCCAAGCCACTGTCAAGAATAGAGGCACAATACAAGAAAACCAAGGTCATCTGTGCTTTAAGCCAAGAACATAGTATAGAATAATATGGCCCTAAGTTCACAGTAAAGAAATAATAGGTATCCTTTTTGTTAAATGTATTCAATATTTCTGTATAGAAAGACTTCAAGTTCTTATATGATACAATATCATCTGTTAGTTCTTAAATATTAAGAGGTTTAACAAGAATCATATACTAACCTAATGCTTTTTTCTGCTCATTATTATGGATTTGGAAGAACTCATTAAAGCTTTTAAATGTTGTGAAGTTTTATATAAGGCACAGGGACCTGAAGACAGATGCCTCTTTCAGGGAATTTATATCAATTACCTAGAGAATAAACTCAATACATTCATGCCATAAAAAAATCTTAAAGCAGGATAATATAGTATTTCTAGATTTGCCTTTAAAAGTGCTAAACAACTGGGATTTATCAATGTTTTAAAAGCTATCGTCAACTACACCGTTTCTCATTTGTATAATTATTGTTTGAGGATACTAAGAGATTAAAAAATAAAATTTATTTTCAAGTTAAGCCAACTGAAATCTAATCAAGTCTGAAAAAATCTGTTTATGGTAAAGTATTACTACATGCGGTATGCTAAAGAGCAAGATTCAAAGAAAGAAAAAGAAAAAAAACCACCCTTTCCAAAAGGCTGCCATGAAGGGTCAACAGTACCAGAGCATACAAACTTAGACCAAAGCATTACGACAAGTGAATCAATCTAAGGCCTCTGTCCACTCTAGTAGGCCAAAACAATCAACTTTGAATTTTGCTTTTATTTCTAACAGTTTGAATTTCCCCAAAGACTCCCCTTACTTCAAAATAAAACCAAGTATCCCCAGAACATGCATGATTTAATAGTTTGTGAACTCTTTTTTCTTTTTATACAATAACTGCAATCTAGACTTAACTTTCACATTTATGTGTAAATAAATATGGCCTAGGTTTTTACCTCTTGCTTATACTTAAATTTTTTTCTAATCATATTTTTATAAAGCAATAATAAAAATAGGTACTAATATCAGACATGATTTAATCAGATATTATAATTTCAAACAACTGTTTAAAAAAAACATAGAGAAGTAAAATTTTCTAACATTTTCTACTAAAAAGTACATAAAATAAGATAAAATTAAAACAGAGGTGAAAGAGAGGAAAAGTGACCATTCTGATAGATAGATATACAACTTAAATAAAAACAATTAAGAATTGCTACCCTATTAGTGGTAAATATTTAAGAGTAAAGCATCATTTTGGTCCAATTGTTTTTAAAATACTTTGATTCCATTTTAAGATTTCAGTAAAATCATTTGTAGAAAAAACCCACTTCTACAAAACTATGACAATTCCATTATATACCACAAAAAAATGCCTATATACTTTTTTATAATAAACATTTTCAAACTAAAACAGTAGACAGCTATTTTAGATGTAAAAGCTCTGTAATATTTCTCTGGAATATTATAAGCAGGTGTGAAACATCACAAAAAGGAAATGAAAATACCAGTTAAGTAGATACCATGATCAGTTAAAAACAAATCCGAAATAAAAAATTTTAAATTCTATTAAAAAATTAAGAGAAAAATTCAAGAACTTAATATACTGTTCAATTAATGATGGTCTATGTGAAATGACATGCTTAGACTGACAATTCCTGAGTAGCAGTATGATAGCCAATGGAAAATGAATATTTTAACTACACCAAGATTAAAGGAATTTGCTGCCATCACTATAGCAACTGTCTTAAGGAAACTAACATGTTCAACAACCTGCAGACCAAAATTAGATTTAGTACGCAATAAAAATATAAATATGGCAATACAGTCTAAATTTTAACTTCTGTACAATTTTATAATTGCTTTTTTGTGCTGTAAGAATAAGTGGGTTTCTCCTTTAGAGCAACCTATCAAAATAGACTCATTAATGTCCAGTACACTAATGAGCACTGGGTGAAGAAGGTGTTAATTATGCCACAGTAAGATTCAAGAAAAAGCCCTAGTGAGCACTTGGAGGTGTGTATAAGCTGAAGGCGTTTCTTCATGTTTATATATTTACAGCATGATGCAATAGAATGACAGCCAAGTGGTCACTCCATGCTTAAGAATGGAAATCTCAGATACAACATACTGCATAAAGAACACCCATGGATCAATTAGGGTATTGGCGGAGGGGGTGACAGGGAAAATAATCCATTTTTTGGAGTTTTATGAATTTTCTAAACAGTTTATTTTAAAGTATATATACATTAAATCAGCTCAGTTTATGTCTTATAAATCCAAATAGTAATTTAGCCAAAACTTTGCACAAAAACTACTTCCTTAATATGCAGTAACAAAAACTTCCAAGCTAAAGTATGAAGAATATTTTCAGGAATATGATGCTAGACTTTTGTAATTCCTTTCCATGCTGAAGTCCTATACACCATGTTGAATCTCTATGCACCAGCCTGACCATTTAATTTTTTCTGGTACAAGTGCCTTGAGACTTTTCAGAGGTCACTGCAACAGTAGACAGCTTATAACAAAACCATTAGCAGTTTGGCTAGCTTAGGGAAACCTCTTACTTTCCTTTTTTGTTTATTATCACTGCATGAATCTGCAGCATATGATAGTTTATAATTTCTCAGGCTTGTTAAATTCATGTTAAAGGTCTGTTTTCTTGTTGAATAAATTTTGTTCATATAACGCTGCCTATTTCATACACTCAGTCTTTAATAGCACCTTTGGTCTATGCGCAACTCACAGATCAAAACAGAGGACTAAAATAGGGGTTGATGATGCTATTTACATGTGTGATTCCTGCTGTCTTCTTGTTAGTAGCTTTAATATAATAGAAGACCTTGTCTGTTTTGTAATTAACACATCTTTACTGGAGAGATATTTGGAAGTGATTGCTGTGAATATACTGGTTAGTAAAATAAACACAATCACACACCACTTTCTGTTATCAGACAAATTTGTGAATTGTACACATTATACTCCAGATCAACAAACTGTGATATAACAGCCAAGTAGAAGACACATATTTATATAACCCTTTATTTTTCTGAAAATATGTATTCACTCTGACCTTGCAAATATAATTAGCTTGTGGGATGTGCAGATTTCAGTACCATGGTTGCTTTACTAATTGCAACTCTTGGAAATAGATACTAAATATTTGGAAGCTGCCAATACAAAATAAAAACTGTATCTTTTTTGTACATCTGTCTTAGCTTATAAAAGCAAAATAGTTTTAAAAACAATACTGAGTTCCATATTTATTCCAAGCACACCCAAGGGTCAAGCACCTATCATTTCATTTTAACAATGAATCTGATTTAGGACTCAAAACTGTAATTACTTTCAAATTATTTTTTGGCTTCTTTCATGAGTATAGTACAGTTTATCCAACACGTTATTTATATTTTTAAATTCATGTTTTCATATCAACTGCTAGATCACTGAAAGGCTAGACTAAATTTCTAAAGCACCAATCTATAGTTCCCAATTTTTATGTTCAAAAGAGGCTATTTTTCGAAATAAGCTCTTAAAATTAGTTTAATACAAAGATGTTTGAAAGAAAAATGCATAAGCACTTCTGGCAGTAGTTACTGTAATTCATAATCTCTCTCTTTTTTTAACAGTAGCTGACTTTGGCATTTCCAATTGCAGTTACACTGAAGTCAATGACTATGAAAAGTGTTTAGACATAAAATGAACTGGGGGAAAAAAAAAAGCTTGAAAGAAAAATTCGAAGACCCAAAATCAATCTCAAACATCAAAAAAAGTAAAAAGAGTTACAATTCAGTTACCAGTTAGGTTACATGTTTAAAAACATATAAACCCACCACCATACAAAGTAAGTCTCTAAATGACTGTAGAAACACTAGGTGTGGAAAGAAAAGCAACACCCCATATCAAATATCCTTTATCACCTAGAAATGACCTGTTATCAACTGCTTAGGTTGTTTCTAGATTCTTTAAAAATTAAGGGTGCATGTGACCTGGGAAGTACTACTGGGGTTTGTGACCATTTCGTTACTTCTGCTGCCATGCACTGCCAGACACGTATGAGAGAAAAACATCTACGTCTCTTGTAAGCCCATAGCATAAAAAATTCAAAGAAATCTTACTTTTTATGCCATTTCCAATGAAAAGCACTAAGAACTAAAACTGACTCATGCCAAACGCATATCACTGAATTGCTGTGATTTCTTCGTCTCAAGTTCGCAACACGGAAATTATTTATAAAATGTCAATTTTAGCTCTGGAAAAGAAATTCCTATGTGTATGTACATTTTCTTTCTTCATCTTTGGAGAATTATTTACTGTAGCTAGAGATCTGTAGTACAACTTCAATATATTGGGAGAAAGGGGGATGGGGTGTAACTAGCATAACGTACTTTTTTTGACAAGTG